GTTCCATTAATGTTTTTATAAATTTTTATTTTATTTAAAAAATAGATTGAGGTTGATAAATAAATGAAAAATATATGTTTGATTTTGTTACTTTAGATATTTTTTGAGGTTTTTTAGTTGTTAAATTGATTTTTTTATATATATTTTAAGAATGCTTATTAAGTATTTTTAAAAATAAATAAATAAAAATTTATTTAAATTTTCTTTTTAATTTTCCAGTTGTCATTAATAAATAAATTAATAAAAGTTTGTTTGGGAGCATGGTTACGGTTATTTTTTAAAATATTTTTTATTTAAAAATATATTAAAATAATATTTTTTTATAAATTATTTTTTTAAATTAACACATCAAAAATAATATAAAAATATTTAAAAAATAATTTAAAATTAAAAAATTAATTTTTTAAAAAAAATAAAAACAAACCAACCCCCGTGAAACGAGGGAAAGAGGGTGGGAGATTCACATTTTTGAGACCCGACCGATGATGGTTGCAAGATCAACATTTGTCCGGTCTGGAAAGCGTGTGTGAGAGAGAGAGAGAGTATCCGAACTCGAAACCACGAGCATCTCTCCCCTTTTGTTTTGACTCGCTTGAATAGGCATTCGGGAATCATGTCACGTCATCAAAACTAGGACTCCACTCATCAATATTCACCAAAAACAAACAGACAATGGCTTAATCCAACCTGATAACATATATAATGTTCTTCTTGGTTTCTTTTTTCCTTTTTCTTTTTTTAATGGGTGTCCAAATTGTGGGTTCACAAATCCAATAAGAAATAAGGATAATGATAGTAGTCCTTGGTTTAAAACTATCTAGTCCCCTGTTATTCTCTTCTTCTTCTTTTTTCCACTCTTTCTCGATTGTACGAGATTGATGGTTGCAGTACCATGTCAGTTTAGCAATTTTTTCATAAAATAAAAATATTAAAATGATAAAAAAAATTAACTTAAAAAAATAACAATGATAATATATATGTATTAAAATGATAAAAAAAATTAACTTAAGAAAATAACAATTATAATATATATGATAATATTAACAAATAAAAAATAAAAAGCAATAACAAAACCTGAAACCATTGAACCTATAATTAGTAATTTTCTATTAACTTAATGATAATATATGAAATAAAAAAATAAAAAATAATTGAATCCATCTCCATCCAACTTTTAGAACTTGTGAAGCGAACAATAAGTTAAAAGATAAATTTATAAAAATAACAATGTAAAATCTCTAACCAACCAACCAAAATAATTAGAGATAAACTAGAAAAAAAAATAAAAAAATGGATAAAAAAGAAAAAGATAAGAACAAAATTTAACACAATAAAATAAAATAACAATGATGAAATTGAAAAAAAATTCAATTAACAAAATAATAATAAAAAATAAAAATAAAAATCAAGAGAATGAGTATCAAATTTGATATAAAAACAAATATCAAAGAATGAAATTTTAAAAAAAATAAATTATTAAAGGATTCAAGACCAAATACATTACAATTAAAAATAATAATAATCAAATTTGATATAAAAATAAATTATCAAGAAATAAAATTAAAAAAAAAATTAACTCAATAAATAATTCTAAATCAAATATATTATAATCAAAGAATAATAACCTAAATTGACTCAACAAATATTTTTTTTATTTTACAAAAGTTAACATGTTTTTTATTTTAAAAAAATATAATCAGAACTCAATTATCGATCTTCTGATCGCATGGGCCTCATTGTTCTTTTCATGATAGTTTTATGGAGGCTAAAACTTCTTCTTTTTTTTCTAAATGATAGGTTTAATTATCCATGATTCCATGTGAAAATAATAAAAAAGAAAACCATAAAAAAATAACTAAAGTGTCTTTGCATTCCAACTTAAGAAATATGATTTTTAGGGGTATTTATGTAATTTTACCACGCAAATAAATTTAATAACAAGATAAGCTCCTTGACATAAGGAAAATGTTTTTTTAAGGCTTCGCTAGTAATTGCACCGTGTAACAAAGAAAAAACGAATATTATTTAACCTCTCTTTCCTTCAATGATTAATATCTTTCTATCCCTGAAACTAAGCTAAGTGAATTTACAATTCTAGAATAAAAAAGTAATATCACTTGCAAAATTCATAGTGAAAGGTTCTTTTAGCTTTTGATATAATATCAAATGCGAATGAATCACTATGATATCTCCCTTCTTCCCTGGAAACCACGAGGATTTGAAAAATAAATAAAAAAATTCTATGGTGATCTCATGGAGGAGAAACCAAAATTGACTTGGACAAAACAGAACAAAGACAGACCAATAGATTTATTTTTCTTGGTCATTATTTTACCACATTTTTGTTGCTTGTCATATTGCTTGTCCTTGTCCAACTTGCCTAGTTATGTAACTTGTGTCATCACGAACAAAAAACAAATTTGTAAATTGTCCTGCTAGCATACTGTGCTGTGAGTGATTGTAAGAAACGAAAACCATGGACCTAGAAGAAGAAAAACCAAGTATTGACTTACCATTGATCTCCCCAGAAACTGCAATAAAATCAAGAAATGGATTCAGCAAAGTTGAGATTGTTGAGGAGGTGAAGAAGCAGCTTGTGCTAGCAGGGCCTCTTGTTACTGTTAATTTCTTCATTTTTCTTTTACAGGTGATTTCGGTCATGTTTGTCGGTCATCTTGGAGAGCTAGCACTTTCAGGTGCTTCCATGGCCACTTCTTTTGCTTCGGTCACTGGCTTAAGTTTATTGGTAAGAGGGGTTTCTCCCATTATGGTTGTGTACAATCTATGAGTTGAAAATAAAACCTCAACTACAATAATTTAGAGCTGAGATATCACTGGACTTATTTGGCTGAAAAGGATGGCAGAACTTGTGCCATTTTCTACAGTAAGTGAATATTTTTCAAATCCCACTTCAAGCCGTTAGAAGGCAGGATTTAAAACCATTTGCCTCTTCTAACTTAGTGATGAATGAAGCTAAGCCATTGTTCAGGAATAAAACTTGCTTTCCCTTTTTCTAAACGAGAGATCCTCGTGTCTTTCAAACTTACATTTCAAGTTTTCGTATCAAAGTTTCACATATCTCTCTATTGATATATAAAATTTGTTCGATGAGTAGAAAGGACTGGCAAGTGCATTAGACACATACTGTGGTCAATCTTATGGAGCAAAGCAATACCACATGCTTGGTATACACTTGCAGAGAGCCATGATAGTTCTTCTACTTGCCAGCGTTCCACTTGCAGTTGTGTGGGCCAATGCCGGGGCCATTCTGGTGTTCTTCAAGCAGGATCCAGAAATATCAGCTGAGGCTGGGCGTTACGCTCGTTACATGATTCCCACCATTTTTGGTTTTGCAATCCAGGAATGTCATGTCAGATTCTTGCAATCCCAAAACAATGTGATTCCAATGATGGTTTGCGCAGGAATTACGACCTTTCTTCACATCTTTACATGCTGGCTTCTTGTCTTCAAGTCCGGACTTGGAAATAAAGGTGCTGCGCTGGCAAATGCTATCTCCTACTGGGCTAACGCACTCTTACTTATTCTTTATGTGAGGATATCTCCCTCTTGTAAGAAGACTTGGACTGGTTTATCAAAGGAGGCCCTGCATGGAATTCCCAATTTCCTTAAACTAGCAATTCCTTCAGCTATAATGGTCAGGTATTTTTTTTATTTTTTTAATTTCAATCACTCCAAGAGCCAATTGCATTGAATTATTTGGGCATACATATCAAGTAGTAATTAATTTTCATTATTATTGTGTTGGAATAGCTTGGAGATTTGGTCGTTTGAGATGATGGTTCTGTTATCTGGTCTTCTTCCAAATCCTAAACTTGAAACATCTGTCCTTTCCATCAGGTTAGATTTATGTGAAGCCATCAGTGATACTATGTTAGGCACATGTGAACTTGTCTCAAATGCATGAATGCTAACAAATTGCTGTATATTTCCAGCCTTAACACAAGTGCTTTGACTTATATGATACCCCTTGGTCTTAGTGCTGCTATAAGGTGAGCCTGCACAAAATGAACTGGTAGATATATTTAAAGCTGCTTCATTCTCCTGACAAATTTATTTCATTGGAGGCAGTACAAGAGTCTCAAATGAACTGGGTGCTGGGAAACCACAAGCAGCTCGTCTGGCAGTAAGTGTTGCGACATTCTTGGTCGGTACTGAAGGCATTTCGGTGGCCTCCTTAATGATCTTTGGTCGTAAAGTATGGGCCTACTTTTATACAACAGAAAAAATAGTAGTGAACTATGTGGGAGAAATGTTGGTTTTTGTTGCAGTATCTCACTTTTTTGACGGAATTCAATCTGTGTTTTCAGGTCTGTAGCAGCGATTTAGCTTTCTCTTCTCTGTGCCTCCTTCATGCATAAAATCAACTTCTGAACATAAGAACTTTTCAAGCTTAATTTAGGACCAAATGAATAAAGCAAGTGCAATCAGTAATTAGAAACAAAACCAAAATTCGAAAGGATAATTTAATGCATTATACATGCCTTCATCAATGAAAACTATGATGTGGATGCTTTCACCAAAATTATACTGTACTTTGCGTGGAATGACCTTGTTACATGATTTTTTATGCTGGCTGACATGACCACAATTGACAATTGTAGGCACTGCTAGAGGATGTGGATGGCAGAAGATTGGAGCGGTAATTAATCTGGGTGCGTACTATCTTCTAGGCATTCCTTGTTCTGTAATCCTTGCTTTTGTCTACAATTCTGGTGGGAAGGTAACTCCATATCCTCGTCTGTCTGTGACTGAATAAAATATATGTTTGTGCCAAGCAAGTAACAGAACAGCTTACAAAAGCTTACTAAAATATGGTCTACAGGGACTGTGGACAGGCATTATATTAGCTCTGTTTTTCCAAGCATTAGCGCTTTTTGTAGTAACTCTTCGCACCGACTGGGAGAAAGAGGTAAACGCCTATTCCTTTGTTAATTCTTTTGTGCATCGCCTGTTAATTTTAGTCTCATTTCTTATTTTTCTGCTCTCTCTTTTGCAGTCTAAGAAAGCTAATGACAGAGTCTACCGTGCAGTCATACATGATAATTCATCAACATAAAGGGTGCAAAGATCTTAGAATAACTTGTTTGCCTGAAGAAGAGAAATTGCATTATAGTATCTTAGAATAACTTGTTTGCCTGAAGAAGAGAAATTGCATTATAGTATCAAAACTGAAGTTATCGTTCACTGACCCTGTTCTGGATTAGGAAAAAAGAAGTAATGACCAATTTCAGACTCTGAATGTATGAGCCAGGCCATTAAAAGCACTCCCTGTTCAGATATATTTATAGCAAAGTTTCATTCTCAATTCAATGTTCTTCTCTCCTTTTTAAGAAGGTCAACTTTCAATTCGCTGTTTCTAAACTGGAACCTGATAAATCATCGCCTCTGAAATGAGTTCTTATCGTTAAGACAATTGAAGATTCATATAGAGCTCTCAACGAATATTATAAGCACGTCAGCACATATAAAAAGCAGGTCTCTTTAGTGTTGATTATGTTTTATTACAGAACGCAAGGAAAGAATCCTAAGATACAAGGCAAAAAGTAAATGGTGAATCAGATCCCAATATTGCATATGCTGGAGGCAGTTTTTACTGGAGCAGCATTAATCATGCCAAAGATTGCATAAGTCATGTCCCTGATTTATATGCATGTAGCTAAATGGTGAGGAATAATAGCTTTGGGGGCGCATTTTACAGAAGTTGGAATTAGGTTATGGATGTTGGGGTTTCTTGACATAATGCTTTCGAGTCCAGTATTGGCGCATTAAGCTCCTGAAAGTGAAACGGTTCGTTGTCCTTATTTCCTTCTTTGAGTGAGATTAATATATGTATTTTGTATTTATATGTAATACAACTTGGAAGCGGTTATCAGCCTGACCAAGAAAAAAGCAAATTATACACCATTTTTTATTACCATAAGCTCTCATGCATACAGAATAAGGACATTAAAGGGGTGGACTTCACTCTAAGTTCCTGTCAGATATGATGTGTATACAGTTTATGTTCCAGTATTGACTTGTATCAGCGCTGAAGTACATATAAAAGTTTAAGTATCCGATTTCATCTTACACGTTTTCGCTTCCCCTAGTTATATGGAAGTATCGAAGTATTCTACTGCTGATTCATGTAAGCTCTGAGCAGGCTAGATCGGAAGAACTGAATCTATGCTGATGTGATACTACAGCATTTTTCATATGGTGGCTCTGTCACAGCACTTGTGGAACTATTTCTTTTGTGTGTGTGTGTGTGTGTTTGGCGATAAGGTATGCAACTCCTTGGCTGGATCAGTCCTCTGAGTACACGCAAGCCGGCCGAATCATAGGTATCCAGAAAATTCCATGAGCACTTGCGAGCATATCATTGCTTAATGCTGAGTTCAATGTTTCTACCTACAATTTTATTGTGATTTTGATTCCCAAACATGGTTTACATTTGCTCCTTTCATTTTTATTTGAAACAGATCTAAATATTAAACAGGACTTCGTTCCTCTTGTTGAAATCTTTAATTTTAAGTTTTAAAAGCTATTAATTGTTAAGGCTTCTAACTCGTTTAAAAGAGGGAGAGGTGCCTGCAGGAAGACAATTCTTTTTAATCATCAAATTATACAAAGTATTAAAAGTAATTGAAAGCTAATTCATGTATGGTGTAAAAGAAATTTAAAGTCTTTTATCTATTAGTGAATTTATTTAATCAAAATTCACTCACCTTTCATAAGTTTTTTCATCTTTCAAGTAGTGAGGGTAATAGAAAATAAAAGTTTTGAATAGTCTAATAATAATTTGTTATATTTTGATAAGAACATGTCATCAATAAATCATATAAACAATCTAACAAATATATTTATAAACTAACAAGATAAAGTTAGACTCAAGAAAAGGTATAGTCATGCTACCCTAACAAAATGATATTAAAAAATATAATTTTGATTTGATTATTAGATTGGATTCAAGTTTTTCTAAGAGATTCTCGACACCAAGTTCTATAGAAAGCTTCAAAGACCCTTAAATTATGCTTCAGTTGTGCTATTTGAGCCAATTTTATTATTTTTTTGAATTATATGTTATGGTTTTTTGTGTTAATTTTCACTTTTGTTTAGGGATTATGATTTTCTTCCCTGACAAGATTGGTTTTAGACTTATTTAAATACTTGTAAACTTTTTAGAGACAACAAACTCATTAGATTTTATTATCATAAATAAATCTACACTTAGGATTCTTGTAGTATAACCTTATTTTGACCTAATACTCTATCTTTCTATTCTTTTATCTTTTTGTTTGTGCTTTTGTCTACATCATAAATTTATTTATTTTTCCAAAAATATTCATTGTTGAACCAAATTCATTCATATATAAAAAATGTTCAATGTTTAACACTCTTTCTTAAACCTCTTGGAAGCAATTCCTAGAATATTTTTCATTTCATTAAATCTCAAACCTTTAGGTTTAGCAATATTAATTTTTTTCTCAATCCAATTATTAAAAAAAAAACAAAACAAAACACAAACTTAAGATTTAAGTATAGAATTTCTCTTTTCCTTTAAGTTGCAAGAGTAATAAAAAGTCTTACAATGTTCAACTTTGCTATAATTGTAAAGGTGTCGGTGCAATCAATTCCAAGTATATGAAAACATTCTTTAATAACCAATCTTATTTTCAACTTTAGTGCAGAACCATAGGACTCACATTATCCTTGTAATTCCAAGTCTTATTTTTAGGCTTATCTACATGCTTCCAAGTTTTTTTCTTCTTAATAATATAAATTTCTTTTTACATTGCTCTTTAGCCTTCATGTTTACTTGCTTTTTTATAGGCTATTGGTTCTAACATAATATTGCTATATATATCATAAATTTCATAAAGAGGCCAAGTACCTCTAACTATAAATTCATAATCATTATTATCACCAATCACTTGTTAATCATAAAAAACTTCAATTTTCATATAATTATCTTCAATCTTAAAAGTTTAAACTCATTTTTAAATTCTTTTTTCCTCAATTCTAGGCAGCTTCTTTATCAAATATTATATCTCTACTAATGAAAATATTTTTAGTTCTCAAGTTATAAATTTTGTAATCCTTGGTTGACTATTATTTCTTATAAATATAATTTTTTTTATCTTTTCATCAAGTTTACTCCTCTCTTTAGATATATAGTCAAAACAAATGCAACCAAACACCCTTGCATGTTTAAGTGTTTGTTCCATTCCATTCCAAGATTCAATCTAAGTCATATCTTTAACTACTTTAATTGGTATCATGTTAAACAAATAGACAATTATTTTTATGGCCCTATCCTAAAAACACTGGTGCATCTTCTTCTTTGCTAATAAATATCTTGTCATCTTCATGATTGTCCTGCTTTTCTTTCTCTGCAGCTTCATCCTATTAAAGAGATGACTTCTAGTGCATTAATACTATATTTCAAAATCGATATAAAAACCATCAAATTCTGTAGAGGAATGCTCATTACCATTATCAATTCTAAAATTCTTTAAAGATAAATCACTTTAAGTTAATTTAAAGCTTTTAAATACTCCAAACATATCAAATTTATATTTTAGAAAGTAAATTCTTGTCATTCATATACAATCATTAAAGAAAAGTAATGAATACTTCTATCTAAAGAAAGTGTTCTTAAAGCCTATATAAATTTGATTGCATTAGTTGCGACTTTTCTTGGCTTTCCATGTTACAAAATTAAAAAATGGCAACATGTGTTGTTTTCCTAAATGACAACTTTGTCCCATATAATTGTATTCTTCAATGGATGGCAAGCCTAGGGTATTTTACAATTTCATCACTTACCAAACCAATATATAGAACAACATTATGGATAAGCATATTAGGGATTATATGCAAGAAACATACAACAAGAGTAGTTCTATTAGAGATGTTTTCTAAGAGAGATCTATAAGAAAGTGTGGTCATGAGGATGAGCACAAGACTATATTTACTACTAAGATTAATGACAAGAGTAGTTATTGTAAGTACTAATATGAAATTTTTTTTTTTACAGATACATTGCCTAAAAATATATATTTCCTCGCTCTTGGTCGAAGTTTATCTTTTGTAACATGAGTATAAGTAAAACAACCAAATACTTTTAATTTAAATTAATCAGTAGAAGAGTTAGACCATACCTCATATGAAATCTTCAACTTTAAATAGTTAATAAAGATTTATTTATCATATAACAAGCCATGTTAATTGTTTATCCTAAAACTTCATTGATAATCTAATATGTGAGAGTTACAATATGCTCTTTCTAATAGTATCATATTCATACGTTATGTAACCCTATTTTGTGATGGTGTATTCCTGATAGTGTGATGCCTAATAATTCCTTCATTCTAATAGAATTCATCAAACTTGTCAAAATGGTTTGAATGCTTTTCAATATCTTCTTTTTAAATAGTAAAGTGTCAATATAATACATCTTACAATTATTTCTAGACCATAATTATAATTTTTTGTTAATCAATCTCTCTAAATTAAGCTCTCTATATCAAATAATTTCACATCAATCAATCAAGATATTACAGTTATCCCCTTTTAAATTGATGTTGATGGATCATAAAGTATTAATTTATCAACCAAGAATTGATGTCGATGATGAGATAAAGCCTTGATAAACATATTAGCTATTTAAAACTTAGTGGATATCTAAAAAAAAAAAAATCACGTTTTGGTCAAGTGGTTCAAGAATAAAATGACAACATACTTTAATATGTTTAGTGTGCTAATAAAAAATTGGGTTAATAACAATTTAAAAATCATTAGTGTTAATATAAAAAATTAAAGAGTTGGAATAAGTTGAGAAATACACAATTCTCCCAATATACTCTGAAGCCAAACAATCTCAATCTCACATTATATGGATGACATATCATACTATTTAAACTCGATTTAGGATTTATAAACTTGATCCTTCTTCTTCCTCATTTAAGAAATAAGAGCATTATCAAGAAATATGCATCAACTAACAACTAAACAATAAAGCTTTACATCACTTCTTAATTAAGGTTTTACACTACTTGAAGGTGACAAATACATCACCTTTTTTCTTTTAAAAATACATTCAGACCATCCTAAAATAATCAAAAATAAATATCAAGATATTATACTTCACCTTTTAACATAATAGGAAATAGACTCTAAAGATCATAATGAACATAATCCACTATACTCTTGGTATGATGAATAGTCACACTAATTTCACCCTGCACCATTTACCATTAATACAATGCTCATATAAATCTAATATGCTTATTTTTTAACCATACAACAAATCTTATTTTCTTAGCTCTAGCATTCCTCTCTCATTTACATATCTCAACCACATGTGTCATAACTAAGCAAAAGCACTATCTAAATCAACCACAAATGAGACTCTAGCTAGATTAACAATTGTTGAACCTTAAAAAAGGTATAGGTCATTAACCGGATTCATTTCATCATGATAAGAGCACCCTTACAAACCCTTAAAACTCCACTTTTAGTATAATAACTATAACATTATGAATCAAGAATGTTGTTATCCAATTTTTTACTAACCTTTTTTATAAAAAATTTGAAAAATCCAAAAATAGTGAAAAACAATGAAAATCCAACAAATATGTTTTTTAATATATTTGTATTATTTTTAGCATTTTCAACGACGTCTAAAAAAGAATTTAAATTTTCAAAGGTCTTTCTAACGCGTTTGACTTTTCACGTGTCATTTTTAAAAATCATTGATTTTTCTCGTTGAGTCAACATTGATATTGCTCATTTTCAAAAAAATATAAAAAAATAAAAAAAATCAAAATTTATAAAAAAAATAAAAAAGTTGAGGAACCAAGTTTGAAAAC